TCCAAATTATAATCACATAAATCACTTTTGAAATGTTTTTCAATTAAAAAAACGAAAAAAATAGTGTTACATGTATCAAATAAACGGGATAATACATGTAAATTATGTTAATAATTTTATTTGTTCATTTTGATCTATTCTTATTTTACCACTTCAAAAAAGGCTGAAAATAGCGTTTTTTTACTATGAAATTATTGCAAATATTGGAAATACTCCTTATGGGGGTATTCATGTTTGTGTATCATTTTTGTCCCATAAATGATTATAAATAACAATTATTAGTTTTAAAAATCATAACATATGGTTTAAAACGGATATTTAGGTTTTTTTCGACAAAAAAATAAGAGGCTATCCACACAAAAGAATCCAATCCGCAGGGATTCACCATTTCTGTGTGGATACGCCCTATCACGTTAACACTCTTTAATTTCAGTCAACTTCATTGATGTGTACTAAATGTTTTTCTGTCATAATAAAAGTGACATTTAAAATGAAAAGTCATATAAACTTCGGTTATTTAACAAAGTGAAAAAAAAATACAATGAGTGAATACTCATTGTCATGTCAAAAAGCATTAAAGTAAATTCAAAAATTACTGATTAATAGTACTTTTACTTTCTATTTTTCTATTTAATTATTTTTTTTAATAATCCGGATTAGTTCAGACAAAAAAAAAAGTTTGAATAAAAAAGACTGAACAATTACAATGCTTGAACGATATTTATAACTAATATTTTTTAAAACGTTGTACTAAAAAAACCAGAATCTGGAGTTATTGATGTCGTACGTCTTGAGCGAAAACACATCATATACGCTTGCACACCGAGTGTGTCCTTTCTTTCCGACTTCTTCAAAAGACCAATCACTTCCTCTTTCACAATTATCTGTTCAAAAGAAATTTGCAAAGCACCTCCTTAAAACACGCCGACAGACTACTGTGGAGTGTAATGTTGCAAATCCTTTTCTTCTTAATGTCTCTGGTTATTCATCGCAAGAAAATAGTCTATGTTTGGCATACAACAAAGTTATCACTTCATGTATCACTCTTCCAAAGGGATTCTACAGTTGGTTTTTTAGAGTTGATAAGCGCGCGTTATACAGTGTATTAGTCCTCAACAAATTTGGGATTCTGACAGGCATCTCGAACATACTATCCGACAAGAACTTCATATTTAATGCTTCCCTTTTTACATCACAAACTTTGAAAATCACATTTGACTCTCGTAATACTGAGAATTCCGCATTTTTTGTTGTAAGAATTTTAAACAAACAATTTGGGAGTTCGTGGGGATATTCATTTCAATTTAAAAGTCATGAAAAAAGCTCTGCAAATAAAAGCATCCCATTCGATTGTAATTCACAGCAAGATTTTAAAGAAGAATTTGAGGTCGTAGCTGAGAAGAAGATAGACGTCGGTGTAAAAAGCTTTGTTCTTGTTTTCAATAAGAAACTCGAGACGGGATATTATGAGATCCGGTGGCATTGCCCCAAGCAAGTTAGTCAACCAAAAATTAACTCGTCAGTTAAAAAGCAGAAAACCAAAGAAATAATTTCAGCGGACTCGCCTTACGTTTATAAAATTGACTTTGTTATCAATGACACTGTTAATGTACCCACCTTCTTGTAATATTATTGTGTTCTTTTATGGTTACTATACTATTTAACAATGGTTTTCTGTATTATATATTACAAACCTTACAAATAAGTATATTTTATAGTACAATACAACTATATATTATTTATATAGTTTTAATTCATAGAATGATAAACTTCAATAACTTTGAGTTTTTAGTATTGAAGTTTTTTAATGGAATAGACAACTCAAAAGTCGTTGTTGTGGTTCTTCTAATTAAGTACATATTATTAGTCAATTAAATTAAATAACAAAATAAAAATAGGATGTTATAATGGGAAGTTTAAAATCAAAACAATAAAGGGTTATTTAAAGAATAGAACTCTGGTATTATTAATACAAATGGGAGGTGGTAAAGCAAAGAAACAAAAGACGCATACCACTGCTCAACAACGGTCAGATGATATGAAACCTCGCTCCCCTGAATCAACCGAACAAACTCGTCTTTCAAAACAAGAAAGGAAAACGCAAAAGAAACTTGACAAGAAAGAAAGAAAACAAGAAGAGCGATTGAAAAGGGTTATGCATGGCCAACAAAACAACTCCACTGAAAAATGTGGTAAAAACTCGGGGAAAAAAGAGAAAGTCGACCGCTATGAAAAAGCAGACAATTTGACTGAAATTTCACCAACGACTTTGTTAACAACAGAAACACTTAAAATGAATTTCAAAAATTATTTAACTACTTTAGATACATCGGAGTTACTTGCTTATATCACTAACATTCCTCTCCGTCTCACAGAAACTGAACGAAGTTATTTGGAAGTCATTGAAAGTGCGTTAGAGGTGAGTGAATACACTTCACAGATTGATGTTGCCAAAAGTGATTACCAGAGTTACATGTCTTTTTACAACACACGAGATGTTAGTGCACGCAGTAAAGTGGAGAAAGTTAAAATTGCACTCGACGAGTTCAAGCACACCATTTTTGGTATTCTTTTCGCAAGTAATTATAAACTCGCAACTAAAATCCTCAATGACCGCAATGTCGAAGAAAAATTCTTCCAAGAGGCCTTTGAAGCCGCTCGCCGGTTTAAAGCGAGTAACCCGGCTTCTATGCGAACCACCTATCAAAAGTTGATGCACATCCTTCAAGACATTGTGATTTATGACAGAGACTTTATCGGTCCAGACTTTGTTATCAGTGGGAAATATCTACCGATAAAAACTGTTGGCAGTGTTTGTTCGCAAAACGACTTGATTTTGATATGCAAAAGTTTGGGGTTAATGAAAGGAGACAATCACATGGAGTTTGACGAGAACACTAATTCATCGAAAGTCACAGTCGCTGTTCCAAATGTGGCAACTGATTTTTTGGTCAATTCGATTAAAGATGGGCTTTCAGGGAGTGAAGATATGTGTGGAATTGTTCAAGGGATGTTAGACGAATTGTCGAAGTATTCTGGATACGCACAAGACAAAAGTTTGGAGATTACACGAGGAAGAGGTGGTGCTGCATTTTCACATAACCATAGCGAGCAATATACATTCGTTAATCAAAGCATGACGTTGTGGTGGAACGTTATGCGCCATATCAATGAGATGTGGTTGAACTGTGACGCAGACTTTTTGAGTGGTGAAAAATATAGTTTAGTAAATACAGGACAAGGATTACAACGACTTCAGAGCTGTCCACGAGTCGGAAGAGCAATGGCTGAAATTTTAGGAACGACAAAAAGAGAAGTTGGAGGTGGATGGAGAGGGCTTTCAGTTGTTCATTTGGGCGATCGAGATGTTCCAAATTCTCTCTTTTATATCGAGAAATATTCCGAAGTCCCATGGATATTGTCACCAATATTACGAACTGTTCGATGGTTGAATAAGATGAATACTTTAAACAAGGAGATGAAGGAGTTTCGAATGCAAAAAATGTTTGAAAAACATAAGCCTTTAGACTGGAAGAACGCAATTCTGCGACATTTCTTCCAACATGGGTTTGATGGAAGTGGCTCTGATGGCGGAAGTTGTATAGATGGAAGACTCACATCGGCTTGGAATTGGTGTTCTATGATAGAGAAGTACATTTACTATCCCATTTTCTTACTCGCCGATTTCGAAGGATTCGATGGACCTTTCAAAAAGTGAATTTTGATTGTTTAAAATTTAAACAAATGTCTTTGAGTTGTTTTTTATTATATAAAACTATTTGATGTCATTTTTATTACTTTGTTATTTTTTGTTTCTTAAAAACTATAACACTTATAATAACAAATAATTCATTAATTCATTAAAATTAAATTATGATTGAATTATTTTACACACCAATTTAAGAGAAAAACAAATACAAAAAAAAAATTTTGGAACATCTTTCTCAATGGTCAAATTTTTTTTTCTTCTCCCAACCATCTTAGAGAAAACAAAAAGACAATTGGCCACAAATCAGGTGAGAGTAAAAAACAATCTCAACCAAGTCTTATTATTGGTTTGGGTATCATTATTATGTTACTCTAATCTAGTACATTTTTTGTAATAAGTTGATAAAATTGTAGAGTTAAAAAAAACTTATGATATTTATTTGCCACAAATAAAATTTATAAATTTATCATTTAAATATATTATAGTAATTTTATTATTATTTGTTAAAAAAAATGAAAAGAACTTTTTCATAAATAATTCATAAACTAAAAAAAAGCAATTTGAACGAAATGTAACCATTTCAATTAGAAAAAATAATAATGAAAAACGTTAAATCTATTAAAACACAAAATGATGCGAAATGTCGGACCAAGGCGTGGTCTCATTTCAGAAAAACAAAATGTGCCCGTTTGGAACGAGGCATCTTTAAATGAAAGTGTTAAAGAACGGAAAGCCTTACTCGACAACATCGAAACTTTTTGGAACGACGAGATGAACTTTTTTGAAAGTATAACTAAAAAATTTAAGGCGATAGAAGTTGAGATGAACGAACACGCTATTAAAATAGAAAAGCTGATATACAATGCTGACAACACCTATTTGCGTTTGTTTTATTATTTAAAGTTATAATATCTTTTAATAACTTTATTGCTATAAGTATTGGTTTGTCATGAATTTTTTTCACTGTAAGACAAATGTTAAAATATTAGTTAAATAAATCATAATTTTTCATTTAAAATCAATATTTAATACAAAGGTTATTTTATTAACAGTTAATAGTAATAAACAGCGAATAAAATACTCACTCAATTTGTTGCTGCGTTGAGGTATTTAACAAATAATTTTGAGTTATTTTCGCAACACATATCTGGAACACCGAAAATTCAAAAGGAAGTCATAGAAAAGATTCACGATTTGCGAACGATGGTGACAGTCCAAAAGGAAGAGATTTTCTTTTCACAATTTAAACTTTTTGAGGAACATCTTTCATATTTAACACCATCTTTGTTGCTTGACTTTTTCAATGCGTTCACCTCGTTTTTTACACTTGGTTCGTCATTTTTTCAGGAAAACGTTTTTATAACAAATTTATTGGAGACAAAAAAGACACATGAGAACACCCCCGACTTTGTCTCTTATGTCGGGAAAACTATTAAAGATATTTTAGAAGAAGAACATAAAACAGTTAATGAGTTACCCAAAACGATAGATTCAATCATTTCAGTGTTATACAAAAAGGGATTTTTAATTAAAGGAATATTTCGGGAAAGTCAAGTAGCTTCTATCAGACAAGTTGAAGAAATTTGTATGAGACTTTCAGTGACCGATTTTGAAAATGTCAACGTGGAGGTTGTTGCTTTAGTTTTTAAAAAGTTTTTGCGAAATCTACCTGTTAGAATTTTCAATAGAGAACAGACGGAGATGATGATGAGCGTTTGGAAGAGTTTGAATAACAATTCATCTTCTTTAGAAATTGCTTTAAAAAATTTATTAATAGTTATTAATAAACTTCCAGAAGAACACCAATTAGTTTTCAAAAGTTCACTGAAACTATGTTTTAAAATTGCAAAAAATAGTTTCATCAACGCAATGGATGAGAAAAATATTTCGGTTTGTCTTGCAAACAATTTCTTCACTTTCTTGCCCGTTGATAATATGGAAATTTACGAAAACGCAATGACAGAGGAAATTTCTATATGCATCAAATTCTTTCAGTTCTGTATCACCAATTTCCAGTTGATGTTCCCTGACCAAATCGACGAGAATGTCATTCAAAATGTTATTAACGAACAAAATGAACTCTTGACACAACCCGTCAAAATCCCAGAAAAACCAGAAACGCAGAATAAGGAGTCTCCTAAAACAACAGAGTCAATGGAATTTATTAAACCCGTTTTTAAAAAGACAGAGACACCACCGGATGATGCTGTGTTAAAAAATTACGAGGAATTTGAAAAAGCACAAAAGGGGGTGTCACAGTGTGGCGGGGCAAATCGGAAACACAAGGTCTGTAACGAAAGTGGTGAAACATTTACACTCAAATCTCTTTCTGGCAAAACGAAAATTGACGAAAACCAGGCAATTGAAAACGGAACTGAAAATGTGAAAAAAGTCAATCTCATCTTTTTCAATCGAAATGTTACTCCCCGAGACAACGTGACGGAAAATTTAACAACACGAGAAATTGTACAAAGAGATGTTTTACACAGAAGTCCAAGAAATTCAATAAATTTTAATTTCGAAAAAAAAAATGAAAAGGAAAAAGAATGTGGGATTGTGGTGGAACGAGATAACACAAAGGCGGAAACAATAAACAAACAAAAGATTGAAAAAAATGATGAGGATGATGAAAGCATTGAAATGCCAACAAAAGTTCAAGCTTCAATCAAAATACCACAACAAGATAAGATGAAGAAGGATATTGATGAAGATATCAGTTTTAAAGTATTCATAAATACAGGTGGAATACCAAAATTATGTGAGAAGTCAAACCCAAACTTTGATGTGTAATTTATCTGGTGTGAATTTTTTTATTTTTTGAAATATATTTTTTTGTTTAACACTCAATTTTGTACCAGTTTTGAAAACTGAAGTTATTTTTAAAATAGGGAAACTAATATTGTGAGAATTGTCTTCCTTGTAAAACTCATTTGTTTGATAGGCATGTCAGTAACCATGTAATTATAGAATGAAAACCAGAAAGTATGGTAAATAATTTACTATTAGTTAATAAATAATATATTTATAAGTTTAGCATTTGTCATTTTACAAAACATCACCAACAAGAACAAATTCCAGAATTTGTGGTTTTGGAACTATCGCATTTACAATGAGGTCTAAAACTCATACACAAAACACATAATGCCGAAAATACGCAAAACACACAGAAATACGGCAAAGTGTGATGCTCAGAACTCAATATGTTGTATTTTAAAACGATGTGTGATTTTACAGATTTTTTGTGTGAAAAGCCAGAGACAATGAAACTGAATAACACGTGTGCGCATTGGACATGAAATGCATTTGTCAAAGTCATTTTGCAAAACTGGAAATAGTTTTCTATTTATGTTGGAGAGTAAATGGTTTGCTGGTTATTCAATTTTTGTGGCAACAATCGGGGTATTTCGGTGAAATAAACTCAGAAAGAAACACCGAAACCTCAAATTTGGAAATAGCAAAAACTAAAGTTGGAATAAACCTGAAACAACCATATCATATGGTAAAATAATAGTACAATAATCATAATTGTATAGTAAATCAAATGAGATTTAATTAAACTCATAATTCCAATCACAGTATAATTGGAACGAGGCTATATTTAAGGCGAAAAAAGACGTGAATTTTGAAATCAAAATGATCAGCCTTAAGCGGATAACACGATCAACAGACACACTGTTCACACCAGCACTTCATTTGCTCAACAATGCATTTGAGCCCGAGTTGCGACGCCCAGAAGCACAGTTGAAATACATCATTGAGAATGAGCCACGACACCACTTCTTTGCTGTAGTGTATGAGAAGAAAATTGCAGGCGTTTGTGCGGTGTGGAGAATCATCAAAGATGTCAATTTCATTGAACACGTTGTCATCTCACCCGACATGCGTGGCCTGTGCATTGGCAAAAAGGTCATTGATCAACTAAAACAATTGTTTTGTGGTCATTGGTTGTTGGAAGTCGACGGCGATGCAGCCCACGAAAAACTTCGAAAATGGTACACATCTTTTGGCTTTAAAACACTCGACAAATCATATCTCCAACCTTCTTACGTTTTTAATGGGCACCAAGTCCCACTCTTTTTGATGGGAAACATCCCACAAGAATCACTCACTTTTGTCGTCAACACGATGAAAAATCTTGTTTATTTCAACAACAACAAACAACTCATTCATGTCTGAGTATTTGTTTACTCACTCTGTTTTTTTGTCTAAAGCCATTTCTCTTTTATCTTCTTTTTCATCTTCTTATCCTCTTTCTATTCATCATCTATTATCTCATTAGTTCTTATTATTTACTATTAACCCTTCCAATACCAGAAATATGCTTGTTATAACACGCATACAAATGAAATTAAACTTAAATCCGTAAACTAAAAGTTATTCTAAATTATACAGGATTTATTTTTAATATTGTATTTTTCAGTTCACGTTTGATGTATCATTTATAATATATAAAAAGTTTGCACGTTTTATTTTTGGATGTTATATAAATTAAAAGTCTAACACAGTTGTGTCATTCATATTAGTTATAAAATATATTTTATAATAATTTAGAGTAATGTATGTAAAGGTTCTTTCTTTAAAATGTGAAAAAGGTAGTAATGTTATTCATATACATTTAATTTATTTTGTGTAATGAAAACGATTTTTTTAAAACGATAGTTAAGAAGAAAAATTTCGTAAATATATCTCGTATACATATGATTCTCAACAAAAGTTCATAAAGTGAGAACGCTAACCATCAGTGTGGTTGCACATACAATATAATAGTATTTGATTGTTTGTTACATATATTAAAATTCAATAAAAAAACAACTTTTTTACACGTTAGTTACAAAACATTAAAACATTTACAATATAAACTAAATTAAAATAATTACTTTTGGAATTTTCAAAGTATGACGTATCCCTTGTTTTTCAATAAAAGAATTTTTATCAGAATTTTATTTGATACGTTTTCTTATTTTAAACCCTGTTTTTGAAAAGACTTATAATGTATAGTTTATTATACTATACACAAATTTTTGATATAAAAAAAAAATATTAAACTTGAAAATAATAACAGGAAAAATCGTCAAGTTTTCCTCACAGAAAAAGTGAACCTTTTTTCAACAAAAATACGATTTTAGGTTAAAATTTACTATTAATTTGTAGTAAATTAAATTATTTTTTACTGTTAATTTTGTTTTCTGGTATTCCCCATGGTTGTAAAAAGTTCAAAGCGTTTTTTGCATTTATTTACTCTAAAATACACTCAAAATGAATAAGATATAAATAAGTATACATTTTTTGGAAATTTTTGGTACTGGAAGGGTTAAAACTATATTTTTTTAATATTTGATATTATAAAATCAAAATAATTTAAAAACAAAACTGGATAACATAAATTATAACCTGTTTTTGGCAACAAGTTAGGTTTATGGACAGACTTTTATCAAACCAATTGTAGTAAAGTTAAAACTACACCTTGTTTCTAAAATCATCCATTTTTTTCCATATTAAAACCTGAGAAATAATGTTTTATAACAAATTGTTCTTTTTTTTCGGAATTTGTAATAACTTTGTGTACAAGTTGTATTTTGACAAACATTTTTTCCATATTCGACTTTCTGCTTCAATCTTGACAACTTTATAATAATTTCGATTTACAAATGTTTTTTTTGGCAATTGTAAATATATTTTTTCATTATTTGTGGAAAAAACAAAAAAACAAAAAATATACTAAAAAATTATAAAAATGATGATGGAAGAAGCTCTTATTTTTTCTAAACCATTATTTTTTAAGTTCTGCATTTTTTAAAATACAAACAATAAACAATATGAATAATAAATGAAGTTTGTTGTAATAATTCCAAAAATAAAAAAAAACAATCGAAGTTTAATTTGTCACTTTTAATACTAAAAACCAAAGTAAATTATACAATAAAATATCGAGTAACTGGTTTTTGTTTTAAAAAGCATTTTTGCCCACAATTTTTGTTCTTCGCCAGATGTGCCGAAACACATTGGAAGCATAAAATAAACTTCTTAAAATCGGGTGTTGACATATCTTTTTTCATAGTAACACATGTTCACAAAAGAGCTCATCCAATCACTCCCAAAGGCAGATCTTCATCGTCATTTTGATGGATGTATCCGACCTGAATCTGTGCTTGAACTTGCTACAGAACAACACATAACACTCCCAACAAATGACCTTACTCAATTGAAGTCGATGATAATGGTTTCAAATGATTGTCAATCACTCCGTGAATATTTGCGAGCCTTTGATATAATCGGGCTTATTCTTCAATCCGCTTCTAATATCACACGCACAATGTTTGAAGTCTGTGAAGATGCGTTCAAGGATGGCATAACATATGTTGAGTTTAGGTTTGCCCCGATTCAATGTATAATTCAAGGTTTGACATACCATCAAGTGATGGACGCTGTCATTGAAGGGATCAAACAAGCCGAAGACAAATACCCTATTGTAGTCCGACTTATAGTTTGTGGGATGCGACAATTGTCTGGGGAAAAGTCTATGGAAGCTGCTAAACTTGCAGTTGAATATATGAACAACTACGTTGTTGGATTTGACCTTGCCGGACCAGAAGATGGAAACCCTCCAACTCTTCATAAAGAAGCGTGTGACTATTGTCATGAGCATGGACTATCTGTTACAATTCACGCTGGGGAATCTGCGGGATATACAAGTGTAGATCAAGCACTTGATTGTCATGCTCAAAGGATTGGACATGGAGTACATTCAATCGACTCTGAAGAAACAATGAAAAGGCTTGAAAGAGATTGTATTGCAATTGAAGCGTGTGTGACCAGTAACACACAAACAAAGACTATTCAGTCTCTTGGCACTTACCCACTCAGAACATTTTTGAAACATAACATTAAAGTCACATTTAACACAGATAATACTGTCGTTTCAAATTGCATTCTATCAAGTGAGATAAAAACATTCTGCGATTTGTATGACTTAACAAGCCAAGAATTACACGACATCTTATTGTCATCGTTTGATGTTGCTTTCATCAGAGAAAATAACATGAAAAATAAAATAATGAAAGATGCTGATGAAAAACTGAAAAAACTTCTCAAACTCTAAATATTAATTTTATTTAAACTGTGGTATGTATTTGTTAAGATAATATAGAAGCTAATGAGCAAATAATAATGATTTTCATTGTGAATGTATGATGTCTATCCAATTGAAATAAAAAGTCAACTATGCTGATCATTTAACATGATATATTGTCTCATGACTGTTATTACATTTTTTTCAAAGTTATAAAATACATTTATAATTTAATTTAAACCGAAACAATTTGATTAATTAAAAGGGCAAAACAATAGCTAAAATATTTAAGGGTTTCTTGAGGATAAGGTGTATCCTCAGGATTAAAGCTATCCTTATTAAAAAATATTTTTCTGAGGATACAAAAAACAAATCCATAAGGTTCAGTTCCCCATAAGGCCCACTTTCATAACTCAAGTTATAATTTACACTTAATATTTCGAGTCAAAGTTCGAATTTTAAATAATGGTAATAATTTGTCATAAATGCCAAAAGATTAAATACAATCAAAAAATCGCCACAATAATCAGTAAACAAAAACAATAATTATATCTCGCTTACTTGAGACGGGAAATAATAAAGTGTGAATTGTATTTGTTCACATTATAATTATAAACTTATTGATATTATTTACGAATCCTTTTTAATAACAAAACGATTGAATTTACATTTAAATTGATAATTGTTTTTTTATCAAAATGAAAAATTGAAAAAGTCGAAAACACTGATTTTCTAAAAATGTATTTTTAAAATAACAAATTTATTAATAACTTTGTAATTTATGCAATTATTCAAATTTATTGTAATAACAAAGTTAATCATATTGTGTATATTTTAATATGATTGTTTCATTTTGATTTTAACTTGTGTTTTAAACAAATTTACAGTTCTGAGGATGGCAATTATTTTCTGAGGATGACAGAAATAGAAAGTTTACACTTTTACATCTGTCTGAAATGTGTATTGAGTAAGTTACTATTTTTGAATATGGGAACACGTCATTTCAATTCTTAGATGTTTAAGTCTGTGTTAATAATGTCTGTTTGTTACACGACTTACCATCCTCAGAGATATTTATAGCACTGCCATTATTGATTTAAAATTCTATAAATAAAATTATCAAAGAATTTTTATAAAGTGAGTTTTGTTAATTGATTATATCAAAAATCGTCAAAACACAACAAAAACGCCAATTAATATATATAATTAATTAATAAATTGAACCCATTTTTATTGAGAATTGATATTGTATAAAAAATAATATAAACATATATTTCTTGTGTATATATGTTTTGAAATATAAATAAAACCGTTTAAAACAAAAATGATTTTATTTTAAAATTTGTTTATTTATCAATCGTTGTTTCATCGATATCCAAAACCTCTCTTTTTGAATTTGCGCAAATACATAAATTGTCATCGCATAGAGTATACGTTATTAATACGTTATTTGCTATCAATTTTTATTGTTTGAAATTTCATGAATTGATTTATAATAAATTATTTTTGTAAAAAAAATTAAAAATTGTTCGATTAATTTGTTTTGTGATTTTGATAAAAAAAATCGACTTTTTCGATAATTTAAATGTCTGTCAAATGTTTTCATTTAAACCAAGGTTGGTCAAGTGGTAAATCAAAAAATAGAAATAGATTATTTTTTTGTAAAAATCAACTGAAAGAATCATCTTTCAAAAAATCCATAAATAGCATTTTTCAATAAAATCATGTGTTTCAAAATATACCTTTTTGATCTTAGGCAAAAAAATCTAAATTGAAAGAAATTATGTTTAAGATATTTACCATCCTCAGAAAAATTAACAATCCTCATGAATCCCTTTAATACAACAACATTTATACAACTGTTTCTGAGATTGTTGTTTTTTGATTCAACATATGTACCCATTGTGGTACAAATGAATCCCTTGACATACCCCACATACAAGCTCACACACCATCTTCAACTTTCTTTCACCAACATCAAGTGCTATATCTTTGACAATGCGCTCAGTATTTGCACATAATTAGATAAATGTAATTATCATATTTGTTTTGTTCTCATAAATTTGGCTTGAAGGAGTGTGACAGCGTTATTACAATCACCGTGAAGCGAAATTGTAATCAAATTTTCAAACGAAAAAAATATTTGTATATAATGCAGTTTACACTTTTATCATATTTTCTTTTTCTATTGCATGGCACTTTTTCGGTCATGTTGTCAAGTGCAATTTTGTTAGTACAATTCATATTCTTTTTTTAGATAATACAACATTTTTAATATTGTTACCTTGTAGTCTTTAATTAAATAATTATTTTTCGAATTAATTATTGATAAAACAGATAGAGTGGAATTTATTAAAGCTGTTTTAACACAACCAACATTTTTTGGTGTTAAACTTGATTCCAAAATCCAAAACAAGAATTCCCACGTCATTAATTAATTGATAAACATACAATTTCATTACTAGTACAATTGTCTTGATCTCAATCTCGTTAATAATTTCTATATTAGGAGAGTAATTACAATGACCAACTTTAGTCTTGGTTGTATAGCACCCATTTGATATAAATTTTTACTTTTTTAAATTTTTTCATTTTCAAAGTCAAGTGCATCAATGCTCACCTTTTTCTTGTCACTAACAAAGAAGATGTGTCAGTGACACCTCTTTTTTTGAACTAACAATATCAATATGATAATTACTAATGGTTATTGGCACATTAAATATATTGTTTAAATTACTTTTTATCATATGGTTGTCAATTTTGATGGAATTAATAACAATGTTGGAGTGGGTTAATAAGAGTTTGATGTTTTTTTGTCATACCCAACAACCCAAAGTGATGGATTTTATCTCAAATTGATTTTTAGTTCAGAAACCACAATGAATAATTGTATCAGTAATACATTTATACAATACAACCAAAAAACGTTTATATAGTTTTGGACACTAAAATACACTGTATTCCTTTTTATTTGGAATACATCCCAAATCTTTAAAAATGAATGAACTAACAATCATACATCTTAATCGTTTATGACTTGGGCCAATTAATTCCTACCATTTTTACACCTTGATATTACTGTGTTATTTTTATGAATTTGAAGACTGTTATCTTTAATGCAACAATATGATTTCAAGTCAAATCCACTATTTTGTGTTTTTGGTCTCTTAATTAAAAAAACATTTAGATAAAATTGTTATAATCAATTGAAAAGAGTCTATATATACTGCATAAAATATGGTCATATAAACAATAGTATTTATTTTTTCATTTAAATTTATTTGGTTTTCTACTTTGTTTAAAGACTAATCCATTGTTATGGTGGTTACATTTAAAAGACTTTCATCATTATTGACACTTTTCCCAAAGGTGATATTTTTAATAGCTAAAATGACGAGAACAATAATTTTTTCTGTTGAATTTGATAAAATCAAGTTGATAACATTGTTTATTACCTTCTGACACTTTTTTTAATTTTAAAAAACATTCCGATTTATTATTGGACTTGTCATTTACGTTGATTTCGTGATTGAATTAGATATCGACATCAAAGTCCAAATTAAAAAAAAATATTTTTAATCAATAAAAATTTGTATTTTTAAAATCGTTTTTAAATTTATTAATTGTTGAGACAAGTTTTTTATATTAAAAACATTTGTTTTTTATCGCCTGTTTTAGACTCTGATATCTTAAAATAAATTTCAAACAATTGATTGTTGTAACCACTCGTGTGATTACATTGACTTGATAATAATACAGTTGTTTAACAATTTTGAACATTAAGATTATTACTGTTTTGTTTTGTCTATCTTTTGTTAAAAGATATGACCAACATTTTTTATAATAAGAATAATACATTTATTATCGTTATCAATGAGTGATACACTTATTAAGAGTGTTCCAATGTTTTTAACTGCAAATGAATTGAAAAAAAATAATATCGAATTTTTATTTCATTGTTTGTTTACAGTCACTATTTATTAAACTTAGTCATGTTCAAAACAAAGCCTCACCAAAAATAATTATTGTTGCTTATTAATTATTTTTGCAAAACTTGGATATATCAATATGGGGTTAATTAAAGTTTTAAATGATTGAATTACAACTCAACTAACAAATAAATAAATAACTATTACAAAATAATAAAACATGTCACTCTTTGTCTTCCAGGTGGAGCATACGTTTCATTCTTTCGGTTCTTGTAATAATCAACTCCTCCGTTTTCTTGTCGAATTTGCAATTATCCAACTCACAGTAGTTATTTGTGTCTTCGTTCATAGCGACTATCATTTTTGTTATACATTCGAAGTTTGGTCTATTAAATGGGTCATTTTGCCAACAGTCATTCACCACTTTTCGATACAATTTTGGCATATTTCCATCAATTTCAAGTCTCTTTCCCATTTGTACTTGTTTAACGATATCCAAAATGTTTTTAAACTCTTTATATGGTTGTTCCTGATAAAAAATTTCCCACGCGGTTATTCCAAAAGAAAACACATCAGAAGCAAAAGTGTATATATCGTTAAATGTTTCAGGCGCCTCATATATTGGGGAGTATAACTCTTTATTTTTTCCGGTTTTTAACAATTTTTTGGTGAACAAAGACGTCCCAAAATCCACAATTTTAATCGAACAGGCGCTATTAAAGTCCAGTGAATTTACTAACAAATTGTTTGGTTTTAAGTCCAAGTGCATAATAAGGTTCTCATGAAGAAATTGCATTCCTCGAGAAATGTCATACAACATCGCAATTTTTAGTTTATATGGAAATCGAATATAAAACTCGTTTTCCTTTCGGAGGTAATCTGTTAAAGAACCTAAAACAAAGAATTGGATGACCTTCAATACCTGTGGTACGTATGTAACAGATCCCATGTAATTCGCTATAAACGGGTTTCTCAATTTACTCATCGTTTTGCATTCATTAATAATAAGCGTTTTAAGAGATTCAATTTCTTCATCGGTTAAATCGTCCCAACGAAATTGTTTTATAGCAACAGGAACACTTCTGTAAACGCCGATATAAACATCGCTTGTGGGACCTCTTGCTATCGGTTTTTCAGACATGTCCAACTCATCCAAATCAAGTTGAGTCGAAGAAATCGCGTCTGTTTTTATAGTCAAATTGTAGTGCAAATGACTCTTAACTTTACGTTTTAAAAGTAACATCTTTTTCTCATCATCGTCAGACCACGTTTCAAAGCTTTTGTTCTTCAAAAGTTCTTTGATTTCACACAAAACACTCTTCGAGTCAGATACCCAAATTGTATATGGAATATTCATATCACGTATCTGAGTTGTACAAAAGAGAGTCATATACACTGTCGTTGTTTTGGATTTTGTATATGGAGAGAAGTGTAGCACCTGCGGTTCAAAGTGAAAAACAAATTTCTTTGTGTTGGGCGTGTGAAAAATGATCATCATGTGTTTTTTACTATAATTTTTAGCTCGAATTTCTTGATACCGCGTCTCTCCAATTTCACATACATTGTTATCAGTACCGAAATCTAAATCTAAGGATTCCATCCAATACTTTGACTTCTTTGAAGGCACACGTTTTAAAGAGCCTGAAATGTAGAAATGATACATCGGTTGTTGTAATTTGAATGTGTTGATATCAATTTTTTTGTGACTTGAAACATAGAAAATTGTCGTTGAAATTATTATCACAATGACCACAAACATCATTACACTTCCCGTTACTATACCAATCAGTTCACCCAGAGAAATTTGTTTTTTCACGCAAGACAGGGGATCTGCAGGGTTTGTATAAAACCCTTTGTCACAGCGACAGTATTGATTACAGTTGGTTCCATTGTCACACTAAATAATAAATATAATTTTGTATAAATAATCTATTTAAAATTTCAAAAATGACGTAAAATATTAAAGTAAAACACAGCGATTAAATTGTGTATATTTAGATCAAAACAATTCAATTTATTTAAAGAAAATTTACTCTTAACATTTGTAATGTTAATGTTATTCATTAAATCGATAAATCGTTGTGTTTTTGAATACAACAAGTAACAAACTTCTTCTGTTCTGATATACCTATCACTTGAATCATACAATTTGTCTATTCTCCCATTTCCACACAACTTTGCACGACACAGCTTCTCGGAAGTTCCCACAAATCCACCACGTACTAAACATTGACAATTTTCAAGACAAGCTTCTGTAAATGCTATACATTCATCTGATGGTGCTGTACCGCCAGATAAACACTCTGGTGTGATACAAAAGTGATTTTTTAATATCAAGTTTGATTCACAACGACAGTATTGATCACACCCTGGCGCATTGTAATAACACAAATCAGTGTTGTTGACTTGCCAAATTCGATTGTAATAACACACCAAGTGACAGTCATCTCTTTTCATAAGTTTGAGTTTAATAATAATAATTATTTATTATTATTATTAAATAATAATAAATAATTATTATCAAACATAATGTATTGAAAACAAACCCCCCATATCCAGGTGAACACACACATTTTTTCTGTGATATTAAACACCTTCCTCGATGTTCTTCAAATCCACAATTATCTGGGCAAATAGCATAGAGATCGATTTCGACATCATAGTCTTGGTCTTGTGTGAATATACTGAAAATTCTGCTCTCGTTCTTACCATCTATTTTTACAACAACACCTTCCTTTTCAGAACTTGCAAGCACACCAATTCTTTCACCCGTCCACATATCAACACAACGAGGTTCATCTTCACCATCAGCGTTTTTTCTTATTACAATTTCTTGAAGATACTGAACTCGATTCATTTTTCTTGCGTCGAATAGTAACGAATAATTTCCATTAAAATTAACTTCGAAGTGGAGAACTTTGTACACTGAAGAGTTCATACAAACGGGATGTGAAAAATACCCTTGACTTTGAATAGGGAAATAAAGTGCTTTTGGAGTTCCCAAATTTTTGATTAAATCATTTGCAATGTTCTGATCAATAGTCAAAAACGTCTTTAAGAGTCTCCCCGACGCAGACGAAATATTCAATTGGATTTGCATATTACAAAAATTGGTAACAGACACAAAAAAGTAATAATAGTATGTCCGAGAAGGTTCTAAGGGGTATGGCGAGTCGTTTGGAATTCTCACTTCTCGACCATTATATGACGAGTTCATTGCAGAGTGTGATAAGCACTTTATCGTTATGAAGTCGGGCTGTGAATTTGTGACATCAATGTTTAAGACATTGTCGCACTTGTTTAATTTTTGAATTGTTATGACTAACTGATCTAATGTGATTTTTTTCATGTTGAATTTAAACCAACGTCCGTATTTAAATCGTTGATTGCTCAAACAAAACGACGTGTCGACAACCGAATTTTCGTTAATTTCGAATTCGAACGGTGTGTTTAAATCAAGTTCGGTAATGTATTTATCATCAGGAATTTTCTTGTCCAATTTTATTCGATTTGTCGACTTTTTGCACACATAGTTGTCGGATATGTAAATTGGGCTTTCAAGATGTAGTAAATCTGTAATTGCACAATGTAAACAAGAATGATCATTATCATATTCTACATGACATGAATTCATACAAGTGTAATTACTTACACAACTACCATTGCATCCGGGTGGGCATATTATTTGACTTCCATCAGCGATGAAGAAAACAAGTAATATCATGAAAAAACATGTTTTCTCCATCAAGTATTGATTTTTTAGGTTAGACAGTTTAAATTACTTGTTGATTCTTTCAACAGTTATTTATATAATATCACTCTATTTTCTTATTATCCCAAAAATCAACTATGATTAAAATGTGTCAATAAAAAACACAAGTTTTCTGTAATAATTTACTTATGGAAAGATTTTTCTTGGAATATTGAAAAATTGGGGTTTATTCAATCCGTTTTAATTATTTTATCATAAAATATATTGGAAAACTTTTTATGTAATTTAAGATATAAATGTTTTTGTTGTTTAATTATTTCAAATTTTGAAATATTCGATTTATCATTTAGTTACTAAAATTAATTATACATAATTGTTTTGTTTAATAATTTAAATAGTAATATTTATAATTTAGTTAATATCATTTTTGGTATTTTATTAAAGTCAAAATGTATAGTACAATTTACTTTACTTGATAATTTTATGAAATAATTAATTTATCTTAATTATAGTAAATTAATACAATATCATAATTAATTATTAATATGAGCTTCATATTTTTTTTTATTATTTTAATTATTTTTATAATAACTTATTATAATAATTGTTTTTTTGTTTATGGGTAAAAAATATAAAGGAATGATTTAATTACATTATATATATCAATTTTTTTTATTAAATGAAACCCCTGATATATGAAAAAAAACGAAATCATGTTTTTTAATTTAATGTTATTTTTAAAACAAGTCAATCTTTCAACTTTATCTATTCTTAATCACAATTTAATAACTTTTGGACCATTGACAATTAAAATAATTCTCTTGTTTTTAAATTAGTCCATTTTTAAAATAGATAAAAAATAATAAAACGGGTCAATTAATTAACGGTTAATCATTTTGCATATTTTTAATCCATTAATTATATAATATTGTTCTGATTCATTATTCATTTATATTAATCAATTAATGATTGTTGTACATATTGACCACATTTTAACTTACAATTTTGATTGAATATCTTTCGTGATCATCTAATTATCAACATCAACACGATTCAAATAATATTTAAACTCAACAATTTGTCTTTTGAGATTCAAATTAAAATTATTTGAAATCTATTTATTTTATATTATTTAATTTTTAAAATAAGATTATCAAACATCCAAAATTGTTTTTCAATTTTTGAACTAAGAAGAAAAAAATGATAAAATAAATTTTTCCTTCAAAAAAACTAAAAAATAAATAAAAATGTTTGCCGAGTTTGTCGTGTTTACGATATATTTCACAAGTCTTGTTTTCTTTTTTATCGGGGTTTTAGGTTTCGTTTGTTTTTTGATTAAAGCAAACACCAAAATTGCATAAGATGAGGACAATTTAATAACACAAAGGCGATGTTCTTTTTCATGTTAGTGTTTAACTATGGAATTTCCCATGCAGTTAATTCACAAGAAAAATTAAACCACTCGAAAAAAGTGATGTTTATGGCTTCAATTGTATTTATCATTATTCCATTCTCATTGATCACTTTCTCATATCACAATTCTTTTGGAGAATTGACTCGAGGGGATACTTTTCTTTATGCGCTCAAAATGTTTTTGTCGGCAGTTACTATTGTTACACTTAGTTACCTCCCCATTAGTCGAAAGTTTCCAATGTATTTTGATACACTGGATAATGACGACGACGCGGAAATGAGCTTATTGTTGAATGGGATTGGCGCTTTGGTTGGTGTGGTTTTTGCTTTCATATTTTTGGTTGGTGCATTTACAAATTTTTAACAACTTTGGTTAATTTTGTTTTCCAAAATTTAAATTGCTAAACAAATTTAAAAGTTTATTAAATAATAATTGTTTGATTTTAAGCATTTTAATCTTAATTCGATCATAACATATAATTTAAACATTTCAATACTTTTAAAAGTTTTATTAATAACAATAATAAAAATTAAACCAATATAAAAAACATTTCAAAATAAAACATATAGAACTATGTAGACAATTATAATAATAAAACATTTGTTTTATAAAACAGATGGTTAAAAAATAAAACTAAGTAGTTATAAACGATGTCTACTTTGTTCAACCTCCAAATCATGGACGCCCATTCACTTTCAATAGCAGATAAATCTTCACAGTCATCTGATCCATACATCAAATTTCACACGTCAAAAACAAAAACACAAAAAAGTAAAATAATATCGAAGACGCTAAACCCGCGGTGGAATCAAACGTTTCAAATTAAAGCGGAATTTGGGGAAGAAGTTGTTTTTGAAGTTTGGGATAACAATACATTTACGAAGGACAAACCACTTGGTATAGCTGTTTTGGTGATTCCCGAGATGGAAAAAAATGAACGTATTTACGATGTTCTTACAATTGATGAAGGTGGTTTGTTGTCTATAAACATTCAATGTGTTACTGAAGGTGTTCCACATCCCAAAGAGCTAACAACTTCGTCGACAGAATGCGTGTTGATGTTTAACGAATTTGCTACAAGCACCAATTTATTCATCAAAAATGCCATTTTAAAGTTAAAAATCGAAGGAAAGTTTGAGATTTCATCAAACCCGTTTATAATTGGCACTGGATCATTTGTTACATTACCAACATGGTTTGTTGTAAAATGTAAACCAAACGACAAAATTATATTTGAAATTCTTACACAACAAATTGTGGATGGAATTGGTAAATATGTTGGAACGTTTGTTGTCCCAGACTATCGAGAAAATGAAAGTGAAGAGAATGAAAACATTCCAATAAAAGAATTTGGATCTCTTTATATGAAAATTAAATGCGTCAAAAGTGTCTATAAATACTCTGATTTAAAACAAATACCACAAGACGACGATTTTGGTATTTCGGAAAACAAGAAGTTGTGTTTGAATGTGTACAACGTGGAGGATATTTCATTCGAACATTTCAACCCAAACCACGACCAAAAAATGCAATTTTGTATAGAATTTAAAACGAGTAGCAGAAAGAAAAAGAACACTGCGTTTAACAATTTTTATCCAAGTTCATACTTCATTGCGGGGTATAGATTTAAATGTAAAATTGGAGAAGTAATTGAATTTATACTCGTTTCTAAAGATAAACATGGAGAAATAAAAGAAATTGGAAAGGCAAAATTGTTAATTGAACATAAGTCTGCAACATGGAAAAAAGAAGAACTTAAATTCGACACTTTTGGTAAATTATATGTAGGTTACAAATGGATGAGAGGGGTTTCAGAAAAATACAAAGAAATTATGAGTTGTTAAAAACAAATAAATTAAAATGTGGTGCAATTTATTGTTTGTTAAAATTAAACATAATTTAACTTTGGTTAAAATACAATGTCGTGTTTATATATATAAAATCAATGATACAAATATTATATCATTATTTTATCCATCATTAACTTGTTTTAACGTTTTTACATTTAACAATTCTATCAAAAACAAAATGGATAATGGTAATTAAAAGTATTCATTTTATATACCACTGTATTATTCAAAAACGATGTTCAAAGTTTAATTCCAACTTTTTGTAAATTGTAAATTTAGTACGACCGAGTAATAAATTTACTTATTTATAAGTAAGCAATTTCCACATCACTTTGCATTTTAATAATACTTATATGAATTAATAAATAATATATTTAGTCTTAAATATAATAAGTAATAATTGTCAATCAAATTTGTATATCAATTTTAAATAATCACAAGTTTTTAATTTATTGATTAAATTTAATGTATGAAATTAAAACATAAAGTTTAATTTATTATTATTACAACACCAATGTTACCAATAATAATAACACAATTTTAGCACTGCTAATTGCCAGATATTGTGACAATTTCCTTCTCATCCCAACACATTGCAGCAGATGGTGCATTTTCATTTTTAGCAAGTGTAATATCATCAAACCAATAACTATTTGTCGAAGAATTTTTATTGACTGCTAAGAACCCCCAAAATTTATTATCAGTCAAGTTGAGCTGACTGAATGGTATTTTGAAATATTTCCACTCATTCTTTTTAATACTTAAAAAATGGGCTCTGCCTCTGTTCTGAGTGCTTTAATATACAAACTACTTTCACTATCAAAACTACTTCGGATATAAAACTGAAGTGCACCATATTGATCAGCCCTTGCAGGAAATGATGCGCCAATTTGAAGACCACCATATGATTCCATAATCATTTCCAAACAATATTTGCCTTCTTTTGGTGAGTCAGTCGAATAAACATTTTCTTTGGATTTGTATGACCAGTCGTTGTAAACACCAACAAATCCATCTTTATACAAAATTGAATAATCGTCCCACAAAGTACAACACTCGTTAGCATTTTCGGGTTTCGATGTTTTATACAACTTTTCAACATCAAAAAATTGATCTTTTGGAATTACAAAATTTCCGTCAGCTACGGTCATGATGTTTTCTTGTGGAGTTTGAATTGTTGCTGTCACAAAATCATTGTTAATAGAATACATTTTTAAGAAAACTGGAAATTCCAATTTGACGTTGTCTGTCACATGATAAGACCAAACATTGTATTTACTTCGATTCATCGGCAAATAATCTTGTTTCATTGAATCTTTGAGAAAAACACTTTTCAACCCCAATGTATGCTCAGAGACTACAACTGCAAACCACCATATTGAAGACCCATTAAATGTTTTGATTTTGATATTTCCATTGTAATCACAGGCAACCATTCTAAAAGTTACATTTGCAATTCCTCCAGATGCAACATATGGAAACGCATTTGCAGATAAATCAAAGTGAATCATAGAACCATCACACGGGATGTTGTATTCATCAGCAGGACAAGAGTTGTCGACACGAAAACGTAAAGTTCCTAAAGGTCCAACCATTTCATAACAAATCCCACATTTGTTTGAGTTGTCATAAAACGCCCAATTTGGTGAACCACCAAACATATAACCCGAAATAACGGGGTCCGTGCGTGGACCATAATTACAACAACCACCTTTTTCCCATTCTGGATAAAAAGTAATGCGTCCTTTAGTACAAGAAGATAGTGGTGTTAATGTGGCCTTTTGACTTGTTTGCTTTGCAAAGGAAACAACAGGAAAAAATTCAGTAATAGTTTGTTCACTTGTTTGATTTGATATTTTCTCACTTAATGGGCAACCAGACAATGTAAGTAAAACCAAAAGAAAAAGTTGAAAAACCAAAAAATTCATCGAATTTGATTTTTTAGGTTATTTAAATATTAGGAATATTTTTATTTAATTGACATGAAAAGTTGTCGGTTTTTTCAACTACAAATTAAAAAAAATTTAATTCTAAAAAAAATTATTGTTATTTTAAATTATAATTATATTATGATTTTATAAACCAAAAATAAATATAATAAAATATTAAAATAAATTATTACTTTATTATAATTTAAATAATCCAAAAATCTTTATTTTCAAGAAAAGTAATATGGATCTATTTTAATATTCTAATCGAAATGAAGTTGAATTTTTTGCTATTTTTCTTCTCCTTTACATTATCGACAACCCCATTTTCGTTAAGAGGATTTATGATATATCATCACTACACCAAATATGAGGCAAACGATTCTCAGATGATGTTATACAATTTCACATCGGGTGTTCTTCGTGAATTAAGTTCGAAATGGTCTGATATTGTAATCAACCCAATGAATGGTATAATTTCACCTGATGGTAAAAATTTTGTGTTTATGGGTCGAAACCCTACAAGCAACTGTTTTAACATTTTTGAGTACGATCTAACTTCAGACAAATTGCCAATCAATCTTTCACAGAATCCTGATGATTATGATGAAGACGTTCACTACAATTTTGATGGATCAAAATTTGTTTTTAAGCATAATTGGCATCTTGTGGAGTTGGACAGAAAGACGGGAAAATTAATTGATATAACCGATAATACCATTGAAGCTTCTCAACCAGTGTATTATACAGACACTCAAATAGTATATTCGAGTGGTGCGGATACTCAAGCAAGTATATGGACCGTGAATACCAATTCTAAAGTAAAAAGTTTACTGTACGACCATAAGAATTTGACGGATTATTACCCTGCAAGATACAACAAAACACATTTTATTTTTACAAGTTGGTACGACGAGAAAAGAACAGACCAACTTTTTATTGGAAGGTGGGACGGAAAGGATGAGAGTGTGAGATTGAGTTTGAATGATAAAAATACAGACCATTCAGACGCAGCTGCTTTTGGAGATGGAAGTAATAGAATTGCGTTGTGCACCACAGAGAAGGGAAATTATGATTTGTATTTTGGTGATGTCGTGACGGGTGAAAAGTGGTCGCTTGACTTGTTCAATACCCAAATTAATACAGAGTTAAATGAATTGGCACCATGTGTATACATTGAAAAAGAAGAAAGTAGTGATGGTGTTGAATGTTTGGTGCGAATTATCACGACGATTGTTGTTGTGTTATTAATTTGATTTTCGGTATTCATTTTAAATACAAAATTTGTTTTAAATTTCATTTTTTTGATATAAAATTGTGTTTAATAATGAAAAAATATGTTTGCTAAATCTTATTTGGATGAATAAACATTAAGGCGTTGAAGTGTTTGCTAAAATGCTATCATCAACACTAGTTTTATAAAAAGTTTTAGTCTTTTTGTTTGTGTTGATCATTAAATGATTAAGGTAAATGCCATATTCTTAAAATAACAATGTTTTTAAAAGTACCTTTAATAAGTTAGTGTATTATTTATTATCTTTGAGCAGTAACTTTGATTAAAAAACACTAAGTGGTTTTAATTCTATTTTAAAAAATAAAATGACGGTTGTAAAATGTGTACATTATTGATATAGTTTTTATATATAAAAAAGTGGTATTCAGTCAAACCTTAAAATACTTCTCGATAGAAAACTCCTTTTTGGTTTTAGTATCAAAAATGCTCGTTCTTGAAAAAAAACTAGCTCTTTACAGGTACCACTATTGGTATATTTTATTGTATATCGAACAGATCACCTTTTTGTATTAAGTTAATATAAAACCATAAAATGTTAATATTATAGCATATTAACAATAATTATTGTTGTAAATGCTTGTTGATTTTTTTAATTAATTCGTTATTATACATTTCATATTATTTTGTTTGAAGATTTTTAAAGTTTTATATTTATTTTGTATACTAAAACTAAATAATTGTTAAGAATTATTTCATCATTGGTAAAGGTTTTGGGTGTCTGTCAGTTTTTGTGAGGTCATTCAAGGTATCAACAAAATCATCTGTAAAACGTATTTTGACTTCTGAGATATCAAACACGAAATTATTCTTTTGAGAAATGGAATTTTTGAAATAATCAACATCCTCATCAGTGACTTCTTGGGGCATATAAGGCTTGGTAAATACAACGTATACACCATCCAATTTTTTATTTTTTATCTGTTCCATTAATTTAGTAGAATATTTGTAAGAATATTTGTAAGATTTGTCTACTACAAACACGACTATAATCCCGGGTTCTATCCATGCTTGGTTCAAAGCAATTTCTTCAAATTCAGTCACTTTTATTAACGCAAAGTTCACTGTAGTATCTGGGAAAGGTACAGAAATGTATTTATTCCCATCAGGGAGCGTGCCAGTGGATAATCTATCAATCAGCGTTTGTTTACCGCTGTGTGGTGAACCAAAAACATAAATAGATTAGTCTTTGTGATTATTTGTGGTTTGTGAGGTATTGTTTCCCATTTTTAAAAATGCTTTATTATGAAAAACAAATGAATTTTTATAATCATTAGTAAATTTAGAATATTACACACATTATAAATCAATTTACTTCGTAACTACACAATCACATAGCATTCACCTTTTATAATTTTCATTTAATTGAATATTTTATCATCTTATTGAGTAACTTTCAATTTGTTTTGAGATCTAATTATAAAAAAGATTTAAGATTCAATAAAATCATTTAAGCTTTTGTCGAACTTACTTAAAGTTTTAAAGTATACTGGTTTTTTAATTCATACATGAATAGCAACAAAAAAGCAGATATTATAAACAACTAAGTATTTGAAAAATAATTAAAAGTTAAAAATGTTTTTTTATATAACTTTATGTTATTCATTTTAATTACTAAAATTATTAATATTGACCATAATCAAGTTTTTTATTGTAATTTTAATAAAATTAAATATTAAATATAATTATAGTATTGAATAGGTTCACTTTTTATTAAAATATTTTGTCCATAACAATTTGTTCGTTTTAATTATTATTGATAATAATTAAATTATCTAATTATTAACGTTGTGATTAAAAATCTAAATAAAAGAAAATTTAAAAAATTGATTGTTTATTTATCTATCTAATAATCAAAATTCAAAAAAACGCGATTGAAAATAAAACATAAATAATATAATATAATAAATTATATATTATTAAATCGTTTCAAATATAATCACGTTTTAGTAACTCTGTTTTTTTTCTCAATTGAAAATTCTTATTTAATAAAATAATTATCAATTTGTGGTAGTAAAAACCCGAAATAAACAATAAATTATTTGTACAAAAAACAATGAAAATTCAATTAAAAAATAAATAAGAAAAGTTATAGACTTTTTCTATTAACTTTTTTGTTTGTTCTTTCAATTTTCTTTCGATTGATTCAAACGAAAAAATCTTTATTTAAATGATGGAGACAGAACCTTCATCCTTCTCATTATTTAATACTTCACGTGCGAAGCAATCTTCTTTGAATTTTCCATCACGACCTTTTTTGTTATCGCAAAGCACTACATCACTCATTCCAAGTTTAACAGAAATCGTTTTAGACTCAGTTGAGCGATTTGCTGGCGACTTTGCAATGAACCAACCACATACCCCAATAACACTTCCTCCTATATTGGCAACAAGACTAATTCAAAGAGTATCAAATAATCCAAATGCGACTGAACAAGATTTGAATTTGGTACTTTTTCGAATTTTTGTTGGAGGAACAAGACTAACAAATTTTGATATTCACTCGACACATTTACTCACAAAGGTGACATGTTTAAATATATTTCAGTTGTGCCAAAACGCACAAATCACTACACTTGATATTTCAAACGCGAACTGTTCAGCGCCAGAATCTTTGGCAGTGATGTTTACATCATTTAAGTATCTCAGATTTCTCAATACTGACAGTTGTGTTGCCTTTGATGATAACTGTCTTTTTAACTTAATATCTATTCGCCCTCCTCTTGAAATTCTTAGTGTCTCAAATTGTCCAAAAATAACAGACAAAAGTATCTCAGAATTAAAGAACATCCACACACTTCAAAGTTTCAAAGGAAATCACTTGAATTTGAATTTCCAATCTTTTTGTGCATTACACAACTTAAAAGAAATTGAAATTTTTGGATGTCAAAACCTCGACGACTTTGCACTTGAAAAAATTTCAAAAAACAACCCCAAACTTGCTTTTGTGTCGTTTGGAAATGGAAGATTGAGTGATTTGGCTATACAAAAATGTGTACAACGACTAAGTGCAAATGTGGAACACATAAATTTATCTGGATGTTCAAGAGCAGGACCACTGACTTTAGCACAACTTTTTGACTCACAGTTCAAACTGAAATATTTAAATTTGGCAGGATGTTTTGGTATGAATGGAGATATTATAATGGAAACTTACCACCCAATGTTTCGAAGCAATTTGTTTCGATGGCTCGAGAACTTGAAATATCTGAATATAGCGGCTTGTGTGCAATTTTCGAATGAATTTATATCAACAATTTTAACATCAGCTCCACAAATCAGTACTTTGATATTGGACGACACGTTGATTGCTGATAATGCACTTGAAGAATTTATAAAAGAAACAATTGTTTACAATGAAACAATTCGGAGAAGTTTACATACACCAGGAATGAAAATCCATCCACTTTCTTTGTCACTAAAACGATGCACAAAAATATCAGACAATGCACTCGCAACTCTTTTTAAGTCCAGGGGCACAGATTTAATTTCAATTAATCTGTCTTCGTCACCAACATTGTCAACGTTATCACTTGCTGTTCTTTCGCTCAATTCGAACGCATTAAAATCGTTTTACGCAGCGAACAATGACTTAATCACAGAAAATTCATGGATAAAATTTGTTGGTAATTGTAGGGAACTGTCGGCTGTGTTTCTTGGAAATAACAGAGGTGTCACTAATCTAGTATTGTCACAGATCTGTGTGTCATGTCCCCAGATCTCTCATTTGGACGTTTCAGGATGTCTTAATTTAAATCAAGGAGCTGCCGACATTTTAGCTAATATGAAGAGTTTGCAATATCTTGATATTTCGTTTGATGTTGCAATTGGAGAAGATGGAATTAGGAAAATAGCAAATTCATTGCAAAGACTTTCGAATTTTGCGATTCAGGGAATAGAGATCAGTCGAGCATACATTTTTGTACAACAAGCGCAATGTTTGAATACACTGAAATTGAATTTCTCACAAAATTGCTCGGATGATTTATTGAGAAACATTGGTGCATACTGCCCATTTTTATCACAAATTGAATTGAGAATGTGTACATCAATCACAGATAATGGTGTTAATATTTTAATTCAAAAATGTTCCAAGGTTGGACATATCACTCTTGGGGGAACTTCTGTAACTAAATTCAAAATGATACAACTGGCCAATTTGGGGCTTTTCGTTTCGTGAAGCGAAAATAACCTGGTGCCACAAGAACAAATTTTTAAAAATTACAACAAAAATTTTATGCTATCTAAATCATGTTTATGTGTACTTTATAAAGTCTGTTTTCTATTTAACGATATTGGGTTTTTACTATAAATTATAATTACAGTATTATAATTTATAATAAAAATAAAGTGGTTTTTCAAAAATACAGTTTGTATTTTATTTTTTTTTGTTCTTTTTTTAAAAAAGTGTGTTAAAAATAACAAAAAACAAAATTGCTAAACAACTGAAAATTATAAAGCCAAAAAGAAGAATAGGTTGGTCTTGAAATGTGAATCACAGTCCGTGAAAATTGTCCAAATTAAAAATTAACACTAAAAGTTTTATTTTTTATTCCATAAATTCACAAAAAAACGATTATAAACAAATTAAAAATAATCGAAATTTTATCACAAAATGTTTAATTTCGAAGTAAAAACTGTGAAATATATCGTCTAAAGTTATTCTTAAAACCGTGCAACTTTGACGTGTCAGTGCATCTTTGTTTATAGTATAATTATAATAAAAAAACATATAAAGTGCATCACAAAATGGTCGACCACCATAAAATTGTCGTACGGCTTTTAAAACAATTTATTTACACAAAAGATTCACTTTGAAAAATGATTGTTTTGGAAAATTCAATACAAAGGACTTTTTGTTCTGTTTTGTTCTTTTTGACTTTTCTTTACGAAGATATTTTCATAAATGATTTTTTTATTGATTAAATTCGAATCGTTATTCTGAAATTGATTTTTGTTATTGACAATGTTGTTATTTATCTTTGTTTTGTCATAAATAGTAAAATATAGTTTTTATAGTTTTATTAACAGTTGATAATTATTGAACTTGGTTTATTCATTTAATGTTCGTAAAAATAGAGCACAATACGTACCATCTTATCTTTGATATACCGTGTTGACTGTACAATTATTTTTCTGTCAATTGTCTTATTATATTAAATGAATCATTTGAATATTAAGATTTCTAAACTCAACTGTGTATATTCAATATAAAAAACGAACTTATATTATTTTTTAAAGTTCGTTTTTTGATGTTTTTATCAAAAGTCAATTAAAATTAATAAAAGACATACACAAGTGTTATGAATGAGGACTTGATCATAGTTTGTTTCAGTGGCATCTGTGATAAACTATTAGTATTATAGATAATCAAGTTGTTGTTCAACGAAACAATTTTTGGTTTTTTTATTTTTTGTGAATAATTTGTTAAATTGAATAATAATTAATTTTATTAAAATTATTAAAACATTATTGATTAAAACAGCTTTATTGTTTAATAATAAATTATCAATAACGATATAATATCCGGTATGGTACTGTTTGATAAGGTATTTTTGTCTGAAGAAAAAACAACATTTAAACTTTTTGTTATAATTTTATCATTTAAAACCACAAAAAATAGAAAAAATGAAATGGAAGAGAAAAGTGGTTTTTTAGTACACTTTGTATTTTTGCATTTGTTTAAAACTATTGTTGATTATCATAATTAAAAAACTAAAAAAAACAAATGAAACCTTTAAAGTCTAAACCCTTAAGAAGGCTGGCTTCAAAAAAACTCAACGTTGAAGCAATCAAAATTTACAAAAGAAGACAACATACAGATAAACTTCTATCTATTGTTCTTGAAAATTTTCAAGCATTATTGAGTTGTACTTATTTGTTTGAACAATTGAAAATGTTAATTCTCAAGACAATGGAATACCAAAAATTTCAGCTCAAAGAAAAGCTGATTTTTTTGGAGTTCCAAAAACACAGTGATTGATAACGAGAAATATGGCGGTATGTCATCTAAAATTGGCAGAAAAATATGTTAACAGAAATGGAAGTG